GAACTGCTGGAGAAACAGCAACATAATCTCATGCGGCTCCCAGACCTGGAGCGGGAGGTGGCTTTGCTCCGAGATGAAAATGGGAACCTTAGGTTTACTCCGTGTTTCATTTAATGTTTTGTGCCTTATTAATGCTTTATTTAATAATTTTATCAGGTGTAAATGTTGTATACTATTGAAGAAAGTAGATTTATCCAATGTCTAAGCACCATTTGGACATATGTGGTGCGTGAACACAAAACTCCACATGCCCTTAACCAAGCCAGTAGAAGGAGGTGAGTCATCAGTTCTACACATTGGCTACTTCAGGACAGGAAGATGGGCAGACTCAAAATCCCTTATGGGTATAGTGGTAAAGTGAATATTCCTTCCCCTAACTGATATCAAACCTAATATCCTGATTTCTCCAGTGCTAAATTATTTTCAGCAAGTTATTTCACGTTTATTACGTGAATAATTTATATCTTTATATTCACAATTACTATTCCAAAGATGGCATCTAAGTTGGCTCCCTCAAGGAGATCGAATATATCTTCACTGATCAGATTCCTTGTGTTTCATGGACACCACAGTGCAATGAGCAGGGTAATGGAAGCAGATCACAGATGTGATTGTTTATTTCTTTAATGCACTTCAGTTACAGTATGAAATAATGTGGTTCAAACTGCCATATTTCCAGTATATGCAAATGGTTATGGATAAGTTTAAAAAAGTATAGATTAAATACTGCCGTTTGTACTATAANTACTGTAAGGCTACAGAGTTTGAATTGAGGGTACTCAGTCATAGGAAAAAAAAACTACTTGGCAGAAATTGAGTACACTTAGTCACCACAGGAGAGATGTTAACATTGCTGTAACAACTACAGTAATTAAGTAATGAGAGCATGGATGTTGATTGTTCTAGAGATGCAGTGCTCAATAAGCTTATACTGGAGGAAGAGCTGATGAACCTTTGATGATGCCAGACAGATGGCAGGGCCAGAATTACTTAGGATGAGGATTGAAACACTGCAATAGAAAGAGCTCTTACTTACTGCGGACGTGGGGCACCTTGATTCTAGGTCAGTCTGTACAGTTTGAATGCAGATTGATGCTGCTTCAATTTCTGGGTTCTGCAGCATTGAATGAGATGGAGAGATGATTGTGAATGTCCAGTAAGTAACTGTCTGAAACGAAGTAGTCGTGGCTTGTTTTGAAATACTGCCCTGTGTTAGTCTTGCTTCTCTAAACTTACTTCAGCCATGGTTCTTTAGTTTATCCTTATCTGCTCTCAGCAGTTCCACATCTTGGTGCTAAAAACAAATCAGTAGGGCTAGGTGGCATTTCTGGTGAAATGCTAAAGCTGGGTGGGGAAGCCATGATTCCATACTTTGCGCATTTATTGGATGTAACAATTAATAATATCACTATCTCAAGTGGCTGGAAAGAAGCCATGGTTGTTCCTGTTTACAAAGGGGGTGTTCTCAAATTACAGACCTGTCAGTTTAACCTCAGTAGTCTGCATGCAAATGGAACATGTTATAGCATCGTACCTGAGGAAAATATGAGAAAAAAGGATTGGTTATTTCAGCATGAATTCAGGCCTGGATGTTCATGTGAAAGTCAAGTAATCACTTTTTGCCAGGACATTGCAGACTCGCTGGATAAGGAGAGTAGGATGGACAAGGCCTTCGATTTAGTTCCCCATAATCAGCTGCTTACAAAAATTGCAGACTCAGGAGCGGACTCGAGGGTAGTTGCATGGATAAGGGAATTCGTTTTGCGCCGTACACAGAGAGTAAGAGTAGGAGGGCAGTTACCGGAGGAAGTCAGAGTAACGTCAGGAGTACCGTAAGGAAGTGCACTGGGTCCACTACTGTTCCTTGCGTCCGTACACAGAGAGTTAGAGTAGGAGGGCAGTTACCGGAGGAAGTCAGAGTAACGTCAGGAGTACCGCAAGGAAGTGCACTGGGTCCACTGCTGTTCCTCGCGTACGTACACAGAGAGTTAGAGTAGGAGGGCAGTTACCGGAGGAAGTCACAGTAACGTCAGGAGTACCGCAAGGAAGTGCACTGGGTCCACTACTGTTCCTTGTGTACGTACACAAGAGTAGGAGGGCAGTTACCGGAGGAAGTCAGAGTAACGTCAGGAGTACCGTAAGGAAGTGCACTGGGTCCACTACTGTTCCTTGTGTACGTACACAGAGAGTTAGAGTAGGAGGGCAGTTACCAGAGGAAGTCACAGTAACGTCAGGAGTACCGGAAGGAAGTGCACTGGGTCCACTACTGTTCCTTGTGTACGTACACAGAGAGTTAGAGTAGGAGGGCAGTTACCGGAGGAAGTCATAGTAACGTCAGGAGTACCACAAGGAAGTGCACTGGGTCCACTACTGTTCCTTGTGTACGTACACAGAAGAGTAGGAGGGCAGTTACCGGAGGAAGTCAGAGTAACATCAGGAGTACCGTAAGGAAGTGCACTGGGTCCACTACTGTTCCTCTCATACGTAAATGATATTTGGAGAAATATTGAGTCAACTTTTAAAACTTTTCGCAGAAGACTGTATAATATATAGGAAAATAACAACTAATAAAGAAATGGAAAAGTTGCACATAGATCTGAACAGACTTGGGGAATGGGAGGCTGAAAATGCAATGATAATTAATCCAACTAAAAGTAAAGCAGTTTGTTTCACGAGGGCCAAAGTGATGGAACCACTAAACTATTCGTTAAGGGGGGACAGTAATTCCTGAAGTGAGCAGCTGTAAATATCTGGAAACAATTTTATGTAGCGATCTACGTTGGGCTGCTCAAGTTACTTGCAGGGCGAAGCAAAGCCCGGAAGGCACTTCATGTTGCAGTGCGGATTCTGAAACAGGAAACAGCAACACTAAATGTTTGGTCTGCACACCCTTAATGTGTCTGGTTCTGGAATGTGGGGCGGCATGCTGGGATCATTACAGGGATGGACAGATAAATGCATTAGACCTGGTGCAAAAGAAAGTGTCTAAATTTGCACCTATAGGAACCATTTGAACTGGGGAACCTTGACACAGCGCAGGCAGATAGCTTGCATATGCGCTCTCTTGAAAGCGTGCACGGGAGAACGGGCTTGGAAGACTATAGGTGATAGATTACAGAGGCCATGCTATCTGAGCAGGGGCGATCATGACAAGAAAATTAGGAGCAGAAAGCAATCGACAGATATCAGAAAATACTCCTTTGTAAATAGGACCATACAGATCTGGAACCAACTACCTTCAGATGCTTTAGGGACTCTCTCCTGCAAACCAAATAATTTTAGGAAAAGGCTTAGGAAAGTGATAAATGAGGCGACATGAAGGTGGGGTGGAAATCAGAAAAAAAGTGCAGTAAAGTGAAGTGAAGTGAAAAGTGCTAAGGATGGGAGGATTATGTGAGTGTACTAAAGCGAAATGAAGGGAAAATGAGAACATGAAATGGTGTATATGTTGTTAGCCATGTGTTTGCCTGATGATGGCTATTAATAGCTGAAACATGTAGCAGAGCCGTAGCGGGGCACTGACCTTGATATTTGTTGAGTTGTGACAGTTAAGAAAGAGGTTGTATATTGTAACACAACAGGATGGATGAAATGAAAATTATTGTAGTACCACTGCCACCGGGTGAAAACCCATTTGCAGTTAAATAATAATAATAATAATAATAATAAATTACCTCCAGTGAAGATTTTTCTCAATTCAGTGTCCAGATTCAATGCTCCCCAAAGAAACGTTAAATTTAAGATTTTACTGTTTGTAAATATCAGGCCATAATAATTGTAAGCTTAACCCTTCACAGCTGGCAGGCATTTAAATTCCCACTCATCTCCTATGCCAGGTATTTAAATATTTAAAGCAGGGAGTTCAACATTTAACTTAAAGTATGATAAGTTGGGGAAAAACTGGAGTTCCATTTTTCATATTTTCACAAAACGTTCAGAAAAGTATATAGAATCGAAGTATTAATCCACACTACGTTAAAATTATTTTGGCACAGTAAGCTTACAAAAATTATGATCAATAGTGTCGTATTACCTAAAAATTCAGCTGGGTGTGGTAGTTGGGAAAAGACTCAGTGCAGAGTCCCACGCCACACGCATCACACCAGTACACTGTCCTCCTTCCTCCTGCTCTTCTGACACATGACACACCTTTTTTATGGCCTAGATTTCTTCACCGTTGAAGGAATCTTGCTTATAAAATGTTGTTCTGTTAGACGGGGCACTGTATTGTTTGATGAATGTTGACCGGGCAATTTATGTTCCACAGCACTTGCATATTTCACAAGAAGTCCCTCAATCAACTGAATTCTGAATGACTACTGATCTATACTTTTGCCTGTGTTATCCCTATATATTGCATTTAGAATTTAGGTGTTCAAGAGCCTGCGAAGTAGCTTCATGTACAATTTATTCATACGCTTCCTCTCAATCAAATAAGAGAGAAGCAGCTGGTCCTTCATATCGACCCCTATCATTGATTTGTCATAGCCCAATACTGAAACTGGTTTGACCACTTCCTTGCCTCTAATTGTAAAAGTCCTGGTGTCATGGCTGTGATAAGTGGAGATCATAGTCACGATTTTTTTGTCTCACCACTTTGAGACAGAAACAGGTCCCGAATGCCGTGCACAATTTCGCCTTTTTTAGTTTAGTGTTTATCACTTTTGATGGCGCATTCTTACAATTCAACTTCAGAGTCCCAACACAGTCAGTCTTGTGCGTGATTTTCAGTAGCCTGGGTAGAGAAGGATCAAGGAGCATTTCCATGAACCTATCGTGGGAGCTGCTAGCGTACCAAGGGGAGTGCCAACCAATAGGACACCATACAATGGAACACCAAATGTCAACCTCGCTGGTACGTTTCTGTTTTATGTAACTGAAAACATAATGTGCATTTTTGTGATGCTATGAAATCTGCCCTTGAACATTAACAGGACAATGTTTGTTGCAGTGGCCAGCCTTGAAATTAAATTATTTGCATTTTGAGATTCCTGTGTATGATAATATCGTGCGGGAAGTGTTCTGTAGCAAGTACTCATGATATCTGAAAGTTGTTGAAATACTCATAATCTTGAAGCCCAACTT